CCCCCATCTCCTCGATGTCGTCTCTGATGATGGAAGCTCGCATGCTTGCGGCGGATACCACGTGGCAGTTGATCGAAGGATGAGGAAAAGGCACCGTGCATGGAACTAATACTCCGTTCCGGTCACGAACGTGAACGGTGCGGTTGAAGAAGTTCACAGGGTGATCCTTGCTTCGCAACCATGACATGCCCAAGATCATGTCGAATTTGGTGTCCAGAATGTCGAAGGACACCGCCTCACTTGCATGGGGGGCAAAGTACACTCGGACGGCGTCAATGCATCGGTCGGTGGACTTGTGCGTATGACCGTCTGCCAAGTGACTTGCGTAGGCTGGGACTTCCTCCGGACACGTGGGCCAAGGCCGGCGCGTACCATGAAATCCTGGCTGATGTAGTTGCGAGATGCTCCGCAATCGATCAAGGCACTGCAGGTCGCCTCTCCGATCTGAATGCGTATGTATAGCAATGGTGCGTCGATGTCGTCGTACCGTTGCGTCTTGAACTCGCGGTCGATCTTCGCGATGAAAGCGTGAAGCTCGACAACCTCTGCTCCGGCGTCCATCAACGGAGCTAGTACTGCAGTGTGCAAGTAGTCCCGCAATTGTGCCATAAGCACGTTGCAATGCGGTTTCAACAATCGTCCGGTCGAGGGAACGGGCATCCACTGGAAGTCCGTGAACGTCAACGGATCGAGCTCATCAAGTCTTGACCAATTCCGGCCTGCGATGCGGATTTCGCCTTCCCATTGTTGCGGGACTTGTTGGTGCTTCGCGGCTGGACAGCGGCCACCTGATCTCCGTCACTTGATACTGGAGTGGTTGCTGGGTTATCTCCACTGTCCTGCTGGAYTGCAGCGAAGTGCTGCTGTCGCGGACCAATTCGTACCTTCTCCACATAGGTCGGCTGCCATGATGTTGATTTCTCGTGTGCAGCTGACCTGTTGGTCTTGATGATCTCCCTCGCTTTGTCACTAATCTCCGCGAAGGTTGAGTACTGCTCGCGATCACCAAGAGCCTGGCTCAATGCCGCACAAGACCTGTTGTAGAACTCACGGCGTAGATGCTCGAATGGTAGGTTCAGATTGGGCACAGCCGCAATCTTCTGCCACTCCGTGAGCCAGTCCCGTGTTGCTGTGTTGCCCTGTGACATGGTGAACAAACGGTTGATGGCGACTGTCGGCGCGTCGTCGACGATGAACCGCTTCTTCCACAGCCGTGTCAGTTCCTCCCATGTGATTACGTCCTTCAAGTCTGGTACGTCGACGCCGTGGGAGGTTGCCAGGTGGCTCAACCAGGTCTGGCATCCGCCCTTTGAGTTCAGGAACAGGGCGCCGATGTACGCATGCTTGGCTACTGGCAGAATCCTGAGTTGCGTTGT